ACTCTTTCAAGTTGTTTTTCTTCACGCTTTGGGGAAACAAAAAAGTGGATATACAACACTATTAGGGTTGGTTGTTGTTGTTTTTATAAAATTTGTCAAGATATCACAAAATTACAGACACTAGAAGCTTAATCTGCATATTTTCCAATGAAAAAGTGAAAGGAAATACCTTAAATCTATTGTATATACAATTTCAATCCAAATTTACATTCGCATCATTTTCTTGGATAGCAAAAGGCATGGATCAAACACAGGATTGAGATGTGTCACTTCAGCATATTTATAGGATAATACTTAAAATATTGGTATGTGTCCATTTAAATTCATTTAGAACAGGCCACTTACAAAAGGCTCAATTTTGTATTGAAATTGTATTAACTGTTGGGAAGGCCACTGCTAACGCAGACTCCTCTGCAATGCAAACATTCAGAATTTGTTTCATGGAGATTCACAAGACAATGACTGAAAAATTCAGGGACTTGTTATTTAAAACCCCGAACGCGGCTGTGCACTCAGCTAGGACACCTTTGTGGATTAAGGCATTTGTGCTAGACATAACTTTTTTAACTTTGCAAGTTAACTGACGTCTTTTCTGCAGTTAACAGAAGCTGAAATTCTTCTCGCCCACCCTTGGAAGAGAGAAGTTACCCACTCAGTTCTTTTTGAGTCCTTAAAAACAAAGTAATGAAGGTTAATAAGAAATGACAGGATATAAACAGCCCCATCTTTCAGCTACAGAAATGGACTTGTATTTGAATAACTTACATTCAGTGAAATTGTATTTAGACCTGTTTGAAATTATTTGGGCTTAGCTAGCACAATTTAAGCAGAACTTCATTCAGATATTGCAAAATAAAGCAAAAAAATAAAATTTACAAGGAATACTTTGTTTCCCTCCAAACTCATTTTTATTACTCAAAATATGGAGGAAAAAAAAATTAAAAATTCTGCCTCTCCTGTTAGAGTACTTCATAATCATAAGAGAATTCAAATGAAGACACCCCTCAAGCTGAGAATAATTTGAATAGTTTGCCATTTTAACTACCTGCACAAACTGTAGATCCTGTATGTGAATTTAAGACACTGTGAAATCAACAGATCCATTTGCTCCTGTATTTTTCTGTTGCTTGAGTTATTAAGAACCAGTACTGAAGGAAATACCTGCAAAACTATCCCAGTTATGTCCACTCAAACTCCATACTTAATAAAATACTAACTATGGAGACCCTGAAAAAAATAGAACCTATGTCTTTAAATAGAATCAAGAAATGCAGTTTCATATAGAGCTGCACATTCTCGAGTGTGCTTTTGCACCAAACCATACTTTTTAGTAGCTAGATTCAAGAGCAAACCAATCACATAGATCCTTCCTTTACATTTAAAATTCTACATATAACTTAATCTTTTTTGCTTTGGTAAAATACAAATAATGGGAAAATCTGGGTAAAGAAAGCACAGTAAATAACACGGGTGTATCATCATACCTTTTTTAAGAAATACGAGCTGAAATGTAAGGCATCCCCAAAGTATTTTTTGCATATGCAAGGAATGCAGTTCTTTGTAAACAAAAGCTCGAGGAAAGCAATACTGAAGCCAAAGAATCTTCCCTAGGATCCTTCCGATGATCCCAAAACCAAGAGCAACTCTCCTAGGGTAGTGTTTTGGAACTAAATCCTGTGAAAAAAGAGAATCCAATCCTTTGTCTTCCATACATTCTTAATCATGATTAGATTGGCTCGCCTTGAAGGTCTCCGAATTAAGAGAGTGATGTAGAAGTTGATTCTCAAGGGCGCAAACTGGTCTCAAGTCTATTTTTCTGGTACATCGCTTTCTATAGATTTTGTGGCAGCACTGCTATGGCCTACGGAGGCTTGCGCGGTATTCCCACCGGTAACGTCTCCCAGTGCCTGGGACTGACAGGCAGCCGTGGGTTTAGCGGCAAGAAGTGTTTTAGAAGAATTAGAGTGATGTCTGCGACGACCTGAATCCTCACCTGTTGCAGCAACCGGTCTCTTTCTGCCAGATTCTTCACTAATAGGAGGCTGCAAATAAACAAACGTTGGCAACCTGTTACGTGTTTTTCTGTAAGGCCAGATATTTGCCTTTTCATACACTGAAAGGGTCAAAAAAGACAGAGCACTCCATAATGAGGCCCGTAGCTAGGCCTAGTAACCTTAGTTATTCACAACTCGCTGATGATATTCTAAAGCTTTCCTGGCTGCTTAGCTGGAAGTGCAAGTGCACGACATCCTAAGGACTTCGAACAGCCTTACAGCGTTATTTAGTCATCACTGCGCAACTGTGTGCCACAACTCCTAGAAAATGGAGGACTATAGAAGATGATGGTAACACAGAGCACCATAACCCAATCACGAGAAGCACGGCAGCACCGTACTCCGGAATCACACAGTTTAAGAATTCAGCATTCGACAGGAAGGATACATTGAATTTGGCATATGAAGTCTCAGCAAGGACAGTGCCTGTCACAGTTCATCAATGCCCAACTGGCATTTCTTAATTCATTTGCCAAATTCTTAAACGGTATAGAAGTCATCAGTCTTACCAGATGACAAAGAAGCTATTTTTTGCTATTTATTTCATTACGCAATGAAAATGGATCAACATTACATTTTAGCCACCACACCTCAGCACCATATGCTTTGGTTCAAAAAAGAACGTCTAGAATAAAATTGCATTTCTCATTTGAATTTCATGGGTTTTATCATGCTTTTTCTAGTCATTGACAGGATTTGTAAAGCTGCCTTTTTGGGAAATGAAGTACTGTTCTCAGTTTACCTTGCAGTAAAAATATTCGTACGCCAAATATTCCTTTAAAATAGGTATCGAAACTTACATCCACTCTGAAGTCCTCCAGTCTCGTAAATTTACTAAGGTATTCTTGCAGTTTGGGGTCAATGGCTGGAGTCTTGTGCTGAGAGTATTTTAGATAAGCCCAAAATTTTTCCAGTCCGTATAGCTGACCTAATAACGGAAAAAGATAATTTTACCAATTTACAAAGGTCAGATTTAATTAAAAACTTAATTATTCACTGGTAACTATATGTTTAAGAGAACCGTAAGATAAAAGGAACATGAACAAAAGCTGCTTTTTGGTAAGTTAACAACTCGGTGCCAAGGAATTAGGATTATCTCCCAGCTAGCGTTACCCCGGTGTGAGCAGCGACTGGCCTATGATAATTACCAGCTTCATAGTCTCTCTTTGTTTCTTCTTGGAAATCCTTGAATATTTCTTGCCTGAATTTCTTTTCTAGGCCATAGCTGTAAAATCTAAACAAGCATTCCAATCCGTACCTGTAACAGAACAAAGAGGTACAAAAATCTTATGCATACGCTCCTCATTCCTCAGAAGGATGGAAGTTTTCAGTCTCTCCTTGCATTTAAGTAAATGGTGTAGTCTCATTTTACCCTTCTCATAAAAAAACATCAATTTTTATTGACCTACTGTTCTGAAATACCTTCACAAAGAATCAAAACTGACTTAGGAAAATGAGGTTTGTCCCACAGTTTCAACTTATGAACTACAGACGCTACACACACATACAAACCAAAGACGAATGCTTTCACTGTTTCAGTATGCTTGTATACACAGCTTCAACATAAAACCAACCAGAGTGGGTCGAACCAAAAGTCAGCCTAACCCACCGTCGGGGCTAAGCCCGATGGGTAGGGCAGGTCGTTGTCTCCTTTCAGCTCCCAGCACCAGGGTTTCTGGCTCAGGATTTAGTAGCACTCTGGCTTTGGCTACCGCACTGCCACCAGCGCTGCCTTGGGCCTCCAGGCAGCAGGGACCTCCTTCTGTTCTGCATTCATCTGCTGCCACCTTAGTCCCCTTAAGAGCCTTCTGAAGTTTCTCCTGGTAAATGTATCCTTGGATAACCACAAAGCATCAAGAAAGCTCAGAGCAGAGACACAAGGTATTATTAAAGCCACCTTTGCACCCTAGGAGCTACCGCTCTGCGGTCTCAGACAACATATCCAAACTTCAGGATTTCCATAGCTGGGACTTCCTCACTTGGCATTCAAGATGTTGGGGTACCTTGTCTCTTTGGCCAAGAGAAACAGAGGCGAGGGGAACTGGGTAGAAGGAAGGGAATACCAAAGAGCTAAAGGAGCAGCGGTAATTTCCTTTGTGGTCATTTTTCTGGTATTTTTGGAAGGCAAGAAGCAGTTTGAACAAGTTGAATGAGGTTAAAAATGTCTTCACCTGTGGAAGGAAGACTCTTACGCGTGTTAGTAAGTATAGAGCTGCCTTGTCATGGTCAACAAGTTACAGGATTTTGTAGAATTCGGGACCGACTGCAAGTCAGCAAATGCTGCACGTTTAGCTATTTATCCGCAAAGCACAGATAGATACAAACAGATGTTTGGTATTAAAATAACTTATACAGACTGCTATTTTAAAGATTTACAAAGAGTCAAAGCCAATACTAAAAATGTTCACTTCAGATATATGTAAACTTCACAGTCATTAAAACGAATGGTAAGACCTCAACAGTTTTCAACTTCCAGGAAAAAGCAAATACCTGTAGTGTTCTTTTGCATCATCTAGAGCAAGTTGTTTGAATTCTTCATACATTTTCTTGTTAAAGTGATCTCTCAGAAAAAAGGACCAGAAACGAAAAAGTGTGTTCATTTCTTGGGACTGGCCGATTCCCAACCGTTTCCTCTCTGGAAGAAAAGAGAAAGGAAAATTAAAAAAAGCTATTTTTAATTTTTCAGCAGAATATTTTCAAGTGCTTTTCCATTAGTAATAGACACACAAGATCTTCCAGTAACTGAAGTTGAAATTTGAGGGCAATTTTTTTGTCAGGGAATGGAAAGTTAAATGGAAAGCAGAGTTCATAAAATAGAAGAATCAAATAAATTTTGCTTGCTTTTCCCAAGAAAAATTAAGGATGAGGAACAATGTGGAGAAAACTGCTATCAGACGACAGCTGGTAACTTCTACCTAAAATTTTAGGAAGCGCATTTAGCAGCTTACCCGTTAGACACCTTTGGCGATATTTGTGGTACACCTGTTGAGTAAAGCCATTTTCCTTTAACAGTTCATGAGAAGGATGCTGAAATTTTGGAAGAGAATTTGGGGTACACCCATAACTTCCTGCTAGTGGAGCTCCTTCTGAAGGCGAAGCATTGGAACTGCTGAAGAAAAAAAAAACAAAACAAAACAAAAACCAAACAAAAACCAAAACACAAACCCGATGTACTTCTGTCCTACAAACAGTGCTCTTCTACAGCATCAGTTTTCAACCATTCTGATCTACGCAAGAGCTGTCGGAATAGTACAGTCACCTGATGATCACCACAGGGCACCCCTGGGGTCCCGGTCATCTGGTTTTGGGTGAAAACATCACCTCAAGAAAATCATATTCTGTGCTAATATGTCAAAACCAGGCAGTTTTGGATGATGACAATTAAACATTACTGTAATGCCTGATTTTAAATGACCACTTAAAGGCAAAAATCACTAAAGTGAACATCAGTACTTCAGGAAATATTACTGCTACTACATCATGGATCAAACAACACTGTGAACATAGTCAGTCTAGTGAGCTTACTTCCAGATAGCCTTGTATTCTACATTTTTGTCTTTTTTGATTGCTCTTTTCTTGCTTCCACTGTATTTATAAACTGTCATTTATCACAGCCTATTTCTCCATTAGCAGCGAGAACTAATGACACTACAAACAGATTTTCTATGACAAAAAGAAAAAAAAAATTACCTCACAGAGGAAGTTCTTGGCCTGTGGTCTCTGGAATCCATCACCCAACCAACGTGGCATTCTAAGGGAGGATTTGTACTGTGTCGTGTTTTTCTTTTTCTTGGAGTCTAAGAAAGTAGATTAAGTATTTATTTCCCTAATTTGATTTCACTCAGTCTCTCCCTCTTAAAACAAAAGTTCTAAAGAACTTATATTCTTCCTAACACATTATAAAGTCACAACACTCCAGTTTCATAACCTAAGGATGAGTCTTACGTAACAGATTAAAAATCTTTAGACATTACACTTTTTCAGCACGGACTTTTAAGAAATATTACAGAGAAAACTCAGAAATCATTTTATAGAAATAAAAAAAGAATGAATATGGTAAATATTTTGACAATAAACAATAAAAAAAAAAAGTACAAGCATTTCATTTTTTGCCTTTTCCTTCTTGTTAAATCATATGCACAGACATGAGTTTCATAGGCTTGTTCTGGTTTAAAAAAAAAACAAAAACCAAAAAAACAAACCAGTATGTCTTTCCATTTACCTTTACATCAATGGATCGTGCTTCCTTAACAACAGGGTAGAACCTGGGTGTTTTATTGGGATCCTGTAGCCTCGGGGTGCGAGGTGTTTGCGGGGTGAAGCCAGGGCGAACACAGGGGGAATCTGGAACGGCTGTTGGCAGCGATCGCGCTATTGCTGCTGTTGGAGGTACTTCAATATTTAACAAATTACAAGCTAGCTCCTCTGCTAAATCTGTAGGCAGGAAGGAGAAAACATTCATTTTCAAAAGGAACTTAGGATTTCAAAGCCTAAGCTCCCCTAGTATCTAGAAATGAAACAGGCCTTTAAGATACAAGTGAACTACATCATCCGCAAAGGATAATCAAATTAACACAAGCACTTGGCGTAGAAGCAGTATGAACTGCTCAAAACTACGAAATTATGTTTCAAGCATGTCTTTGCTAGAAAATTTAAACCCACTTCTTTCTTACCTGCTTTTTCTGATGTATCTACACTAGTAAAGTAATGGAAAATAAACATTGGTGAAAGGGTAACTACATTGTTGCTTTTTGGTGAGGCGGTTTTCTTCAGCTACTTTAAAGATGCTATTAGCAGGTATCTTAGTAAATGTTAGTAACACTACTATATCAGAAATACCTCAAAAGATGAGATTTGGACGTTGTGACTGCTCAGTAAGGTTATGATACAAGTAGAAAATTCTCGTAATCTCACTTCATTCTATCCCCGCTTCCCATAAAAACACCGATTTCTACAAAATGTTTCACAACATCACTAGCTATTACTTCACACGTTGTAAATGCCAAGTTACACAAAAAGCACCTGGCATTGGTCTACAGTCACGATAGAATAGGGCACTGCCTATTGATGCTCATACATATCCTGAAAAGTACGAGTACCAGCTTCTTCTAATTCAATGGAAAGCACGCTACTGATGAACAGCTGACAATTTGAAAAATTAGCAAAGAAAAAGCCCCTCAGACTGCCGACTGAACTAAAATTAAAATATTACACAGGCAGAAAGAGTTAACACACCTACAAAATTGTTCTTTATTACAGAGATTCTAAGAACAAATACATATTACTTACCTTTCTGTAACCCTGGAGGAACTTCTTGGGTTGGATCAGCAATTAGTTCTGGTGCAAGATTATCAAATTCTTCCTTACTAATGAGATTTAGCTTCTTAAAGTTCTCAATCTCTTGCTGAATTAGAGAAAACAAATTGTAAACGCAAAGCACAATAACAGATATCATCCTGAGAAACAGGTGAACTTCATAAAAGAGAAAATAAGCAAGCCAAAATTGACACGCAACTACTCATACACAGCCAGTACAGATTTCTTTTAAGGAAGATGGAAGGAGTCTCTAGCACACATAAAAAAGTTGCTGTGAATCCTGTATATAACCTCATGCAGCTCACACTGCGCTAGCTAAAAGAAACAGTTATGCCAACAAATGGGCGAAGGAAGGAAGGTAAGGCCATCTACATGCAAATTTTCACAGACAAATACGGAATAGAAATGACTGAGATCCTGTCCCTTGCCAAGCCCAAACCCATTCTTCTTCTGCAGTAAATGTGCCAAGGAAGGTCCTAGCAATTTAGGGGAGCAGAAGAAGCCCTGCTCCCTTCCTCAGGCCTAAAGAAGAGCCAGTATTTGTAAATAAAATGTTCGTCATTTTTTTTTTTTTGATTGGTAGCTTACACTGCAAAAGGATGGGGTTTTCCAAGAGTGTGGCAGCATCTCAAATCACTCGTGCCCCTGCTCAGCTGAAGGTGGGGTGGGACATGCGTGTGCGTGCATGCTGTGTGTGAAAAGTTGTGTTTAAATCATTGTTAAGAAGGTAACAACAACCAAAAAAGAAAATATTTTCTCTTGCTGTGTGCTATTTCCTCACTGCCCTCTTCTAGTTTGCTGGTTTTCTTAGTTCATTTCCTTGGTAATAAGAACTCCATATTCCGAATTCTACCTTTACTTCTTGCTCTTATTCTCAACATTCATTTCTATCTTTGTCAGCGCTTTTTTTGTACCCCCGTGCTCCGTTTGTCCTTTAAGCTACTTTGACCCTTCCCCCCCGCCCCACAACCCAACTTTGCCCTCGTGCACAGCTAAAGCTCCTGCCCCTCACCACTTAGCGTTCAGCTAACTTTGTATTTCTGTACACATATCATCTGCTAGTGATACAGTGGGGCTGCCTACAGATACGCCACTCACTGGGCTCGCCCACACAAAAGAAGGGGTTTCTTAATAAACCAAGAGCAGTAAGTGACAGGACTGCTGTGTGCCACGTTGACCTCTGCCTACGAAGTGCTGGAGTTCAACTCATCTGTAATGTTACGGCTGCTTAGTATATTAAAAAAAAACAATTTTCAAAATAAATAAATAAATCTTAAAACCAGACAAACAAACAAAAAAACAACGCTGACAATCTCCTTCTAAAGTTTTGAAAGCCTCAAAGACAGGATCCCATGTACAGGCTAAGAAATAAAAAGGTTTCCATAATAAAATAAGGTGTGCAATCCAAAGTTTCATTTGCTCACAGAGCTATCATTCTAACAAGCTACAAGGTAAACAGAACCTCAACATAAAACTACCTTAAAATGACTATTACCTTCCTCTCTTACCATCTCGCCTCAGAAACGCGCCCTCTTCCCCTATGGCAGGGGTTTGCAAACGTTACGAAACAAGCTATTCATAGAACAAGAAAACACTGGAAGAGTTGAACCATCTCCAAAATGTTAAAAATAGTTCTAAAAAAATATTCATTCAGCGGTTTTGGTCAAATCTGTGACAAGAAAAACTTGCCGGTTTTGCTTTGAACTGTTTACAATATTATCAAAATAAAGAGAATTCAATAGACCTGTAAATTCAACTACTGTCATTTTTCTTTCAAAAAAGTGTAGCATTTTACAATTACGGAGCAAATGGCTGAAATTAATTTTGGAACTGTTTGGACAGGCATGGTTTTCAGGTCAAAAATGAAAACACTTACCTTCATCATAGTGTCATCTTCACTCTGCTCCATCCACAAATCCTGTTCATAATAGTATAAGCCATCATTAATAACTTTAGCAAGCTCTGACGTAATTTTTGCACGGCATACATGGTTGCCAGTACGATCTCCACCAGGATGTTTTCTCATATGTGGTGGTGTCTGTGTTACAATCAAAATCTTGTTTATGTCCTGATCATCAATTTCATAATCGGAATCGCTGTCTGACCATTCAGTAAATTTATTCTTCCGACCTTGAATTTGTTCCATCTCTTCGTCAAACAAAAAATCAAGTTCTTCTTGTTCTTGTTCCTCTGGAGGTGGGGGTGGCTGCTGTTGATCTGAGGTTTGAACAGCTATAGGAACACTTTCCTAAGTTGGAAAAGGTGATGCATTTTATATTTGAATTGGATAGTGATTATCCAAATGGGAGACAGATAAAACATGATAGAACATTTTCAATAAACAAATGTATTGGAATTAGAAACAATACAGCCACTTTCAGATGTTTATGAAGCAAATTACTGTTCTAAATAATTCTGCCATAAGCTTTTAGAACAATTCTCAATGCACGTTACAATACATTTTTCAATAATCAACAGGTACAACTGTCCCTCAGCAGAAAAAATAAAAAAAAAAAAAACAACAAAAAACCCACAGTATTTCCTTTTCACTTCAGTGAGCTTTGGATCAGGATTTTAAATGCACTTAGTTATTCTAGGTCTGGTAGAGCAAGAAGTACGCACACTAACTGTATTGCTTTATCAAGCATTGCATAAGTTAAGACGTGAAAAATCTTGTTTTAGAGTACAATCTGAAAGTCGGCACGTTTTGCATTTGTTTATTTAAACATAACTTAAAGGTTTTTGATTTTACCTTTAGTTTGACTGTGGATGCACGATGCCTCTTCTTCACTTCTATCCAAGGTTCAGAGTCCAAATCAGGCAAACTTGTAGACAATCCTTTAGACATTGTCTGAAAATTACCCGTTTCAGTGTTTTCCTTTGGACTCAGCAGGCTTCCCATTCTTGGAGAACTCGGTGCAGACTCTAGCAGTGGAAAACAGCAGTTCGAAAAAAGTGGTGTGTTGGTTTGTTTGTTTGTTTGTTTGTTTTGTTGTTTGCCTTTTTTTTTTTTTTTTAATTGTTTCACTCATCTGTCTTTTAACTACAGCTACCATTTTTCTACCTCTCTGGTTAAATATCACACCGATCAGGAGAATTTCTTTTCATTTTTAGGAGACAGCTTTTCACAGTTCACTCAGCATTTCAGGAAAAGATCAATACTAGCAATTCTTATTTACATGGAAAGTTTCTAACAGTCTGAGAGAAATGATGTGTTACTCAGAAAACAAGGGCAGCATCATTATGGACATGTTTTCTCCACACCATCCTCTAGCTCTATGGATGGGTGCCTAACTCAGTCTTCATTCTTCCCATTTAATTCCAGCCAACGTTTTAGTAAAAGATTTCCTTGCCAAAGGTTGGCAGCGAACAAACCCATCTCCCTATTAATAATGTGAACGAGATCCCCATCCAAAACCAAGATGCACCAAATAGAGTGAACTTTCAGCTGCTACCAAAACGAAGCCGATTTCATGACTAACTTAAGATTACTATTACTACTTCTACTACTACTACCTAAAGGACCGTAGTCCATCATACTACACCCTGGAGAATGGTCACAGCCGTAACACATAAGAGACATTTTTACCTACTTCACATCAGCCGTGCCAGCCACGTGACTCGGCAACTGCAAGGCTGACAGGCAATCAGCTGAATAAACCCTTACCAAATGTACAACCTCTATTATGAAATCAGTATCAAGAGGCAAACTTCCTAAGCTAGACAGACAGTCCTAAACTTATGTTTCTATAAAATAAATCCTTTACCAGTATGTGAGCCAAAAATTTGGCCTGGTATGAATTCTGGACAATTGACAAGCTGAGAAAAGTCAGTCGGTGGCAGACTGCATGGAGGAGGACCTGGAATTGGCCACTTTTCTGGATCAACCCTTTTTCTTATCCTGTGATCCACAGTTTCAACTTCTGTACTGTCCTTCAGGGCCTGCGTGACAAGAATATTGTAACTTTAAAAACTTTACATATCCAGCACCATCCAAAAAAGAAAAAAAATCCACAAACTTTGCCATTTATAGCCTCTCTATAAAATCCTTGTCCTTGCAAATAGAAGCCTTAACTTCGTAACACTAACTTAAAACGTCAGTACAAAATTAACCAAGCAACTTTCTACATACGTACTTCTGAATTATTTTACCTCCAAAATGAGTGCAGCATTTGTAGTCAGAGCTTGCATCCGACGGAAGCTAGCAATCAATGAAACAGGCAGAAATCCTTGTTGGTCCATCTTTCTCCTCAGAAAGAAGTCTCTTTCCAAATTTTCTGTGCTGAAATAATACTCACTGTAGAAAGAAACATACAAATATGAGGCTACTATAGGTTAAAGAAAATCCTAAAATAGCAACTCAGAGATTCCTTGTTAAAGTCTTCCATTAAAAACAGAGCTTACTTTGTGATCAACAAAATCGTTCTTTCAACAGGTGTACCGTTATAAGCAAGGCTTACAGAACAGCATGCGCGCTCGACATGTTAAGACTTATGATCCAGTACAGCACATAGGGGTGTAAATCAAAGCTTTGTTACATTTGCATATATGAACTGCATAAGGAAAAACTATGCTCCATTTTTCTTTCACCCGTCCCCTCCCTTATTACTTACATGAACAGAAGGAAACAACATTCTCTTAGCCTCCATATAGATGAAGGACAAGTACTGCTTACAGTCAGGGCATAAGTTATTCCCCCACACAGCAGTATCAGTGCACCTTCATCCTGAACTGTATCTTTTCTTTTCCCAGTTTCCAGTACATTAGAAGGTTTAAGTATCCTATCTGAGTGTTGAGGCACATATATGTACTCTGAATCATTACTTCAAGCATGCTTGTGGGAAGATGAGAAAACAAAAATAGTAACGTTGTATTTGTTATGGAACTGTACCAAAAGGCACAACAGTTCATGGAAAAAGGTAAAGTCTAGAAGAAGAGATTATGTTTAGTGGATAAAGAGGGACAAGGACCACTTCAGGAATCTGACAATACCACAGAACAAGAAAGACGAGGGACAAAGAAATAGCAGAGAGACAAATCTTCTTAAATGATGAAGCGGCTCTATGAAATGATCAGGGTGTCAAGATGTTTTATACTTAGTGAACAGAAAAAGTAAGGAATTCAAATCATGATCTGTCACACAAAGCAAGGGAATGAGAAAACATCCTATGAAAAAGAATGGGGAAAAAAAATTAATCACGACGACTAAAATCTAGGCCTCTCACAGAATTTTACACATCATACCATGATTTTGCATATTACATCCAAGACATACTACTCATCAGGTTCAGGAAAATGTAGGCAGTGAATTATTTAATGGAGAGCAATTAAAATCCTATGATACAAAAATAGAGGCAGTGCAAAAATAAAACAAGAGAGCATTAAAATGCTGAGGAGAAAAAAACACATGCAAATGTAAATAAAGTTAATTCTAATTTCAACAAAGTGTAAAATGCTAAGTGTCTCCACTGAAGTTGGGATCAAGGCCAAAGTTACCAAGAGGAGAGGACTCTGATGCCGTCATTGATCCGAGGAGAAGTTTAATACCATTTCTTTCTCTAATTTTTGGTAGCTAAAGAAATTTGAAGCAAAAGCTCTCTATATGAAACACTCAGCTCCAAGACAGAATGAATATAAAATCTCAAAGTTGGACAATAAGACATACGACAAATGAAAACATCGCCATTAAATCAGAGCAGAGAAGAGAATAAGGCTTTTGGAGAATTAAGCTCTTACTCAGAGCTAAGCAAACGGACCAGTGAAGCAACTGTGTACAAAGAGGGTTCTTTCAAGAACATCCTATTTACTGTTCTGAACTGCTACATTTCTTTCCCCCTCCCAATCTAGAAGATAAGCAAGCACAAAAGCCATATATCAACATTTTACTAATGTTACCTTTACAGTCATACAGTAAAGGTAAAATCTTGTAACGATTCACCTAGTTAAAAATTCCACAAGCAGAAATGGACAATGACTGAACTTGACTCAAACTGCCTCACTTGATGTCCATCACTCTAGAAAAAGGAACGTGAAAGACCATTAATGATAAATGAAGACAACGCACAAGTTTGCTCCAAGTAGAGGGACAAACCTAAACACACGCACCCCCTCTAGCTTTTCTTTTTCATTTTCCTCAGAGTCCCTTTGCTTATTCTTGAATTGATGCAGACTTGGATGCATGTCTGAACTTTTATTTACTTATTTTTTAAAGAAAGAGGACTTTAAATAGAGTTCTACTGCATGTTGCAGACGGAGGAGTTGCTAAGCACTGAAACTTTTCAGGCTGACAACCTCAGCCTGTAATTAAAAATGTAAAAGATACTTTTGTATGTAATACAAATATTCTCTTGTACATCAAGCTGGTGCTTGATAGCAGCATATTTGTTACTGTAATTACACATCAACTCAGTTAGACACAGTCTCTAGGAGTTTTTCCTATTAAGCAGGCAAACTGTTTTAAAATTCATCAATTCACTAGGATTCAAACCAATCTCACTTCTTTAATATATCCTGATTTATCTTGGGCTCCATAATGAACTCTGACACCTAACAGTTCTGTGTAGCTTTATTCTGTATTCTTCTTCGGCATAGTCACTTTAATATTTTATAGCTAAATCATGAAAGGCAGATACCACCATCCCCATTTAGAAGGTAGGTAATATGTAATTGATGAATAAAGTCTGTTTCCCATCATTTTTAATGTGATAAAAGAAGTGAATAGATAAAAAATGCCTTTTTTTTTTTTTTTAAGGAGCATAAAAATAATGAAGTTACGTTCTAAACCTGCTCAAGAATCTCCCTCTCTCTCACGGAAAGCAAACTCCATAATCAAACTGCCTTAGGAGTTCAGATCAGACAAGCAACCAACGGCCCTGGTTAGCCAGCCATGCCAAGTCTTCTATTGACACCTGCCAACCTCTTGTTGCTAAAATAAAATACAAATATAACCAGAAGTCAGATGTGACCAATGCTGTAACTGACATTTTTTCTCAGCAGAGGGGGACATCATCATGTCCTACCTTAGAAGGTCTGGATTCTACACTGCATGCCCAGAAATCTGGCCAACAGTGGAGTGTCTGTGCTCCTCCCTCACTTGTCTGAGGACAGTGCAGGCCGATTATCCTGACATGGGGGTACATGTCCACTGTCAGGTCTCATAGGGGCCTGGCAGCAAGAGTAACAAAAAAGACTGCAATAGAAGTTTTGAAGTTGATAGCCACATGCCAGATACTTTCTGCCCTTAAAGAGGCTTTTTTCTTCCTTTTTGCGTCAACTGTAACAAAAGAAGCAAGAATAAAATAAGCAAGTTGCTTTACGGAATACAAGGGCAATCAAAAACCACCACAAAGGCATCGCAGAGAAATGCCGTTGCGAGTACAGAAGATGAAATATCTGCCAGTGGTGGAAACTGTCTCTTTAAAATGAACTAGTGGTTTCCAGGCCCTTTTTGACTTGTCTCCTGGTGATAATCAGTCTTCCAGATGGTTTCTCATTGCCTAATGGTGTACACGAGAAAGTAAACATTTCAGATTATTGAAAAATCAAGTATCATTGCAAAACTACTCTCTTTCAGTTAAATGTTTCAGGTGAGACCCTCTGAAAACATAAAACTAACAAGACTTCTCAAAGTGAAATTGAGAGCAAATAAGGGAAACGTCTAGCTACATCACCCAAGAAGAGCTTTACAGGCAAACAGACCAACAGTACTCAAAAGCACAAGCTCAGAGACATCCATATCTCAATTACATGACAACATAAAAAGAGGGTTATGTACCATAAATAAAGCAGGTATACGAGTTAGAGCCAGGCTACAGCACAAGATGCGGAACAGCTTCCTTAAAATTCCTCCCCATCACTCAAGTTTTCCACCCCACTAGTGAATAAATTCAAACTGACACTGGTAACGGTCAAATCAAAAAGTTAAATTGAAATGCCTTAATCTCCATCTTTATATAGATAATAAGGATTAAACACTGTTTGAAATGAGTCATTTCATCTTAACTAGATCTCTAAAAATATTTGCACATTGAACAATCTACTTACATTTGATGTTTTATATATTCTTTGAGAAGTGCTTCATCCACAGGATACATCTGCACTCCTGTTCCATCACCATAGTAATACATCACACTAGCATTAAGCTCAGGTTGAAATACTTGGTCAGTTCCTTCACCATACAGTTCTTGATAACCAACCGAATATTCAAAGTTCACTTCAAAATAAAGGAGAACATAAAAGAAAGATAATGAACAATACTAAAGTCCAGCACACAAATATTTTAAGGCGTGAATCACACTGCTATTTTACTGTTGGTTTTCAGCATCTCATTTTAAAAAGACTCAAGCTACTTAATTATATTAAGTTACAGGATACATTTTTTTGAGGTAACTCTTACTTCATGTGCAAAGAATAACATTATAAACAGTTTTAAAATTTTTGCTAAGCATCTACTTCTTTGCGTACTTCTAGGGTTTCCTCGGCCTCGGCCTCTTCCTCGGCCTCGGCCTCTTCCTCGGCCTCTGGAGAACCCTCGAACACTGCTACTGTCACTTCTCACGCTGCACACTTCGTCATGATCATCTCTCTTTTCTCTATCACGACGCCAATCTTTAAGAGAAAAAAGCAGAATACTTGCAATCATAATTTAATATCACAGTGCCAAAAAGTCCCTTGTAACATAGAGTTCGCAGCTTGTGCACAGCCAGTCCACTGACTCAGTCGTGCTGGCTGAAGCAGAAGGCCAGATCTGAAGCTGCAAGGGTGAAACCAGTAAGGTTTGCCCAGCCGTGCCTGAGCGTGGGTCAGGCAGAAGCTGTTAGCCATAAAGAAGAGTTAAATGGGCTTGACTGGCAGTCAATCTCAAATGCTTCTGAAGCAACCGGACACTCTGGTGCCAGCTCAGGGATCACAATACCTACGATCGGCTTGGGACAGGAAGGAATGATCATGCAATTCTCCTTCCAGGCATGGTAATACAGTCTCCTCCTGTGGACAACTCCTAGTTAGCTCTTCATGATCCTGCTCGGAGTGGGATTTCTGCAGCAATGGCTCTCTGGAGCCTCCCTTTTGTTCCCAGAAGCAGCCATCTACTGCTCCCCTGACTCTGCCCATTTAACAGCAACCCTTTATTCTCTGCTGGTCATGCCCCAAACTAAGCTTTTAAGTTAAGGACCCCTTTTTCACAACACATGCAAATCTAAGATGACTCCGCAAATCTAATGACTCCGTAAGAATCTTTGTAAGCTTTTCATATAAATATGTGGTCTGCACATAGCAAAAGAGAGCAAGAGAGAAGAAGAAAGGAAAGCAAGCAGGTCCAAACCAGACCCCAGGGACCTTGGCTCCACTCACCACAGAACTTAAGGAGAGGTATAATTCTCAATTTACTCAAGAGAGAAAATGAAGCCCTCTCTCACACCATTTCTTTCTCTTTTCCTAACACTCTCAGAGACTTCCATCTTCAGTCAGTCACCCTTGCTTAAAGTTTCTTTAAGTTTTAATTGGATCCGGAAGACTTTCCAGATGCCAAGGGACGTCTTTGTCAGAGGAACGCCTGGGGATACAGCCCCTACTTGATCAAATTGAGAATTGTTAAATATAATAGAGGACTGACTGAAGATACGATTCTTTGTTCATATTGGAAATCTTGTTTTACTAGCAACTATTTTTAATGAACCCTACAATAAAATATGTATGCTCATACATTCAAGTTCCTGTACTTTATTTTCTGTCAAATAAGAGACTGGATTTACAAAAAACGTAATCTGTATGTGTGTGTCTCACTGGGAATTTGGACCTTAGCCGTCACACTTGCAACCCTCAACCTTAGAGATCCCAAATGCGTAGGTATTATTTGAATTATTTCCCCAAATCAGTTTCATTTTTGCACCCTGAGAGCACATGTGGCTCAGACACATGCAAAAGTCCTACATATAACACCTTCATGAGCTAGGGTTGTACTTAAGCCTGAAACAAGTTGTTTTTTTTTTATTTAAACAGCCAATGTTCCTGAAGAGCAAGAGATATTTTATGTTCTCTCACACTGAAACTGGTCTTGAATCACTAGAGCCTTGAGGTAGAGTTCATGCTACAAGTTTCTGGTCATTTGACCATCTTGAGGAATAATTGCTGAAGAAAGTGACACACTAGTAAGAATCCTCACCCTGCCCTTGGCCATCCCTCAGACATTCAGATCAACCCCTTACATCCATGTTCCTAAAATGACTTCATAAACAAATGCCATCTCAGTAGAATCCAGTACTTATTATTATTATCATAGAATCACAGAATCATTTAGGTTGGAAAAGGCCTTTAAGATCACCGAGTCCAACCATACAAGTAAACATTTAAATTGTTAATGTATATTGCAACTTTAAAACTTGAACCAAAGAGTTACACTCAGCCTAAGACTCCTGCCACCTGACAAGCTGTATTCAGAACACCTGAGGACCAGAAGCAGTACCAGCTGTGGTGCATTTCTCCCTCTGTTGTGCTAGTACAGCTTTTTGCACAGCCATGCTGAGAAACAGGTTGGGGAACTGAAGGAATTGGTCCAACTTAAAGGAAAAAACAACATCAGTAGAATTGCCAAAGCAGAGTTCAAAGTGTAGGTTCACGAGCAATTGCTCCAGTAGCAACAAGCTGCAGGAACAGCAGCAGAGCAGGACAGAGCAGCCACCTTATGAAACTATTTCCAAACTTTCTGCATCGTAAAGCTGTGGCCCAAGACTCTGTAGGGAGCCATAAAGAGGAAAAAAAAAATATATGCTGCTCTGATTCAGAGCACCAGCACGTGCTGTAAAGATAGACTGTTTCCAAACTCAGTTACTCAGCAGAGTCAGTGATTGAGACATTACAACTCTGATCTATTTAGGAAGAGGTTAAAAAAAAAAACCTGACAGTAAGCTTAAAAGCTTTCCAATTTAGAATTTGTTAACCTACAGTTCAATTTATTTATTTTTTGCTGGTTATTGGCAAATATTAACACTAGGTTTTACTTAGTATAGGCAAAGTCAAATTTCAACATAAACTGCAAATTTAATGCCTACTCAAGTGGTATTATACTTTGTTTGACACAAATAGAAAGACCCATAGATTGAAAGCTACTTACTTCTTGACTCATTCCGTCTGTTGTTATGAGGTATTAACTTGTTTGTTTCCAGCAGAAATCTTGAGCTAGTTCGAGAGCCTGGTCTTTCTTGACTGTCTGACCTTACATCATCCAAGTGAAGTGGGACCCATTTCTGCTTGTTACCTTGAAAAGTTAATATATTACTCCTCATTACAGTACTACTAGATGTTTCAGCTCCTGAAAAGGTTCTATAGAATTCTTTTTGTAGAACTAGTAACAGTTAATTTCAAAGTTTAAAAACTGCGAGAAGCTTAACGTTGAAATTTTAAGATATGATGAATGACTAAACAATAATAAATGCAGTAAACAGGAATTTCTTAAACTGAAAGGTAACCTTACTTAAGCTCTAAATACATGAAATGAAGGTGAGCTTTGTTATTCAATGAATTTTTAGATGTAAGCTCCATTGCCAAGAATTTATAGCTACATAAATGTTAAATATATACAGTAAATTCATTACTATCTAATTTTACACTTTGCATATGAAACTTAAAGGTAAAAAATAAAGTATCAAGTTAACCACTATAATAAAAATTTCAATCACAAACCGTAAGAGTTTTCCTGAGAATCTAGCTGTGGTACTGTATTTTTACCTTGAAATATTCAGATTAAGTTCATTCATGTGCATCAGAAATTATTAGCAAAGCTGTATTTTGTTGTAGGCTGGCCTAAAATATCCACTAACCATTTATTTAATGATAATATTTGCTGTTCTATACTTGATCACTATTGGGGGCTTCATACCCCTTAAACTGAAAAAATTAAAAGAAATACAGGATTTGTTTTTAAATATATACATAGGATGATTAACAAATCTAAACAACAAAGGTCTTTAGGATCTGAAGAAATACCAGCAGGGAAGCAAGAGAAAAAAAAAAAAAAAAGACAGCTGATGGCAACAATATCTTAAAACACTCTCAGCTGTTTCTCCAGCCCACTGACCAAATGAGATACAGGTTTGCTTCATATTTTTAATGTAACAGATTGAATATAAAGGAAATTAACAACCCAGTTTGGTTTTCCAAGTGATCACTTCAAGGTGTAAGCTAATAGTAAAACATGCAAATTGAAGTGTTAGTATATATAGTAACACACACACACACATATACATGAAGTTAAACTAACATAGTGCTATCTATTTAGCGAAATAAAGATATGAGAGACAGTAATGGCTTCTACAGCCATGCCAAAATTTTCCAGAAATTGTCAGAGCTCTATGACCCATCAGCAGGACACGAGCCGCTTTTTCCCCAGAATTCCTAGTTGACTAGGCAGAACACTCCAAAACCTAAGAAAGCCTGTTTTAAGCTTCCTAGCAGAAAGCAATGTATCCTGTTATCACCCAGAAAATGCAAAACATAACAAGTTTCATCAAGTCATTCAACTGGAATTAATGCCACTGTATCAATGGTGACTTATTGCATTATACATAGTGCCCGGACTGACCTTTTTTCCTTTGGTTATTAGTTTGAGCTTCATCTTCACTAATATTATCTCCTGGCCCATCTGGCTTTGCCTCTGGGTTGTCCTTGATTCCATTATTGCTTTTTTGATCAGATTTCTCCTCCTTTTCTCTTCTATTTGTTGGCTTCTTACTGTGACTTACAGTCTTACACTGCAAGAGATACTGGTAATTATTTCTGACAGTACAGCTGCTGATAGCAAAAAGTATAAATTTCCTTTATTATTACTTGTTCTCAACCTCTTCGGTAGGGTGAGTTTTCAAAACTGTGTTGTTTTGTAGAGTCTCATTTTAAATAGTTCTATTTTCTGCTAACTTGGCAAGACTATAAAAAGAACTTTTTAGACTAAGAAAGTTTTTGTTTGTTTGTTTTTTTAACTGAAGATGTAGAATTGCGGCACACACAACAATCATGCTTCAATACCTCAGAATTGAAATTTATTTTATAGGAAAGAAAGAAATAAATATTACTCACCAGTACCTACTGATCAGACTGATTATCTTTAAAAAGCTGTGCTTACAGAATACTGAATAGTAAATCAGAAATTCCCATGATGCTGTACAATCTCAACAGCATGCCAAATGTTCATGTAAACTCTAAGGAGCCATAGGTCTTTAACTCTGACAATTCTGTTCCACTAAATCAGAACATGAACCAAAGATCAGAGGATGTGGAGGTGTACGATTACAGACTTATTTTTTTCCCACATTAGAATATGGCATTTACTGGGAACTGTGTGCCTTTGAGTAGTGCCAGCATCTTGCAGATCATCACTTCTTGGAAATCCCACAGAATAACAGGTTTCAAAGAAGGCAAAATGAACAGCCTTTTAGCAAATAGTGGAAAGTTTCATTTTTTCCCCAGTATCAATACAGGCTGGGGGACAAAGGGATTGAGAGCAGCCCTGCAGAGAAGGACTTGGGGGTCCTGGTGGATGAAAAGCTGGACATGAGCCAGCAATGTGCGCTCACAGCCCAGAAAGCCAAGCGTTATCCTGGGCTGCATCACAAGAAGCGTGACCAGCAGGGCGAGGGAGGTGATTCTCCCCCGCTGCTCTGCTCTGGTGAGACCCCACCTGGAGTACTGCGTCCAGCTCTGAGGTCCTCAGCACAGGAAGGACATGGACCTGTTGGAGAGGGTCCAGAGGAGGGCCGCAAAAATGATCAGAGGGCTGGAACACCTCTCCTAGGAAGACAGGCTGAGAGAGCTGGGGTTGTTCAGCCTGAAGAAGAGAAGGCTCCAGGGAGACCTTATTGCAGCCTTCCAGTACTTAACGGGGACTCATAAGAAAGACGGGTACAGACTTTTTAGTAGGGCCTGTTGCGATAGGACAAGGGGTAGTGGTTTTAAACTAAAAGAGGGTAGATTCAGACTAGATATAAGGAAGAAATTTTTTACAGTGAGCATAGTGAAAGACTGGAACAGGTTGCCCAGAGAGGTGGTAGATGCCCTATCCCTGGGAACATGCAAGGCCAGGCTGGACGGGGCCCTGAGCAACCTGATCTCGTTGAAGATGTCCCTGCTCATTGGAGGGGGGTTGGACTCGATGGCCTTTAAAGGTCCCTTCCAACCCAAACCACTCTATAATCGGATATAATATCTACCTCCAAAATTAAGCTTCACGGGCATTTCTGCCAAACAGAAAGAAAACTCCTATGCTGTGGAGACAGCTTTGAACCTGCTGGAGTACATACAGTAGATACTGCAGTACTATGCTCTAATTAATTTGAATGCAAAGCCTTCCCTTAGACAAATCACTTGAGATTAAATACAAACTAAATGTTATTTGATTTACCAGACACTATATCAATTTGTGTACTAAAATTCTCACATACTTAAGTCAGCAAAAGGTTAATTAACATCTATGCAATACAGCCTAGACCATCTGGTAAACCAAAAAAATCTTTTAAAAAAATACTCTTAAAGCAGACTATTTCAGACAGAAAACATCAAATGTGTATATTCTTATGAAACACTACATATGTATCTCTCAGCCACTCTGATTAGTACTGTACAGACATCATTGATCATATCAAAATTTGACATAATAACCAAGTAGATGCTAAAGACCTGCAGTACTACCGAGAATGCAAAAGATACGGGTGCATGTTTTCTTAAGTCACTGAAGTCAGTATTTCCCAAAAAAAGAAAAAGAGAAAAAAGACGCTAAAGTAAGCATATTCTAGACATAGTCATAAATCAACACTAGCATTTACAAATATTATTAAAGGATATAAAATGTAATCCTTTCAATGCTATTCAATCTCTCAGATCTAAGCTCAGCAGACCCTCTCCTTTTCTGAGCATCAGAACATGATGGAAAATAGCATTATTTTTTGGGCACAGTTACAGACAGAGTTTCCCTGCTCTGTATCTCATGTATTACAACAGTAGTCTCTGAAATATTACAAACAAAAAGTATTGCATAGTGGAACTGATCACGCAATCTTCAAGAACAGCATTTTTGAGTTATTAGACTGTAGCAAACGAAGAGGCTGTGCATCTGAGGTATAAAAAGCACAGGTGAAATTATTTCTAATTTTATGAGTTACTAAGGAAGGAGTTTGATGCACAGCTGAGGGTTATACACCTCTAATGCCATCAGATGAATTAGCAGCTTTAGGATGCCAGTCATGCATCCTTCATGATATTGTTAAATATATCACCACTGTCTCCTGAAGCGGTAGTCTCTTCTGTTCTCATCATCTCAGCAACTGACACGAATATTGATGATGGAGAAGCTTATAAATACTTTTTTTAAAGTCAAATCAAGGATATGTGAGCAACTGAACAAGCATTAATTTACTGGCACATAATCTATTCGGGTTTTAAAGATTATTCTAGCAATCTCGAATATTTTCTTTGAGATCCTATAGACCAAGCTACCAGAGGAGACAAAGTCTACCTAGCAGTAAACATAATGTTGTGTCAAATCTACAGACATTTATAATTTTGACCTGCAATGCTAAAAGCCTGGTTAGACACCTGAAAATGTTTTGTTGCTGACATTAACCAACAAAGTTATGACAATCAGTTGAGGGAGAAGGGAGGGCGTTAGAAACTGAGCCCGCGGGACAAATGATTCATGCCAAACTACTCAATAATCTTTTTCATTTCTCATTTGGACACTTTCAATTACACAATGCACATTGTTGAACCCAAATCTTCTGGTTTCCCTCACCAAGAAAACAGTAAAAGCATCACGGGGTGCTGCAGAACTGAGGCAAAGAATGAAACGGCACCTCATAGCTTGCAACAACCTGTGCTCTGTTCTTGTTTTAAATAGCATAAGAGAGGTGTAAGATATATTACGCACCTTATCACTTGAGATCAAGTGAAAGGAAGATAATTTTTTTGAGTAGATGGTAACTAAAGATCCAGCAAGGGAAAAACATATCGGAGGAATAGGGCAAGGATAACTAAGTTGTCCTAAGACAACCTGCACGAAGCATTCAGAGCCACAAGGGAGGGCAGCATGTTCACAACCGCAAAGGCCTTCTCATCTACACATAAACTTTCCGAGTAGAAAAGGGAAATATAAGTGTTAAAATGGTGGTGTAAATATGGCACATTTTTACCTACTTGTCCATGGCACACTACCAACGATAAATGGAGTGTATGTGTGTGGGCTTGTGAAGGGTTCAGAAATTCCAGTACCAGCGCAGGCAGTTAAGCACAGACCAGTATCCCCAATTATTGACAAAAATTTCTGCTGAAGCCCTACAACAACCAAAGCGCATTCTGGGGGGAATGGTATTCAGCAGAGAAGTCAGTATGGTTTTTTAAAAAATGCTACTGAAGGTAACAAAGGGATACTTACTTCATTGTTTGCTATTTCGCTTGGTGTTGGCCAGTTTGTGATATCGCCAAAATCACCAGCCTGCAAAGATGACAAACAGTTTATACTACTTCCTAGATTTAGTCCTTTTATTAAACAGAAGACATGGAAGATGTCAGTCATGACTCAGATGGCCAGACTACCCCTTTGAGCAGAATTGTTAGCAGTAGCAATTTTTAAAAACTGAGAAATACAACAGAAAACAAACACACAACTTTTGAAAACAGAATATGATCAATTGTGGAAACAACTATTCATTGCAGTTACATCCAAATCAAGGTCCAATACATTTTAGCTTGTAATTAGTATAACTGTCTAAAGGATGCCTTCATGAAGAATATTTTAAGTGGGTACAGTCAAAAAAAAAAAGATAGCAAGCAAACAAAACTTTCTACATTCTATTATAAAACAAAGAGGGCTTATGACTTTTGAGCAGACATAAAACAATTGTCAGATTAAATGTTGTCTTACACATAGCTTCCTATGTGATTTAAAGGTATCTACTGCTTAAAACTCCTTTAGCTTTTGGAAGACCTTTGAGCACCGGTATTATTCAACCTAAGAAGGGGGGACTGTACAAAATTTTAGAAACTTAATTTTTCAATAAAGGGATTCAGTGTCTCCTGTTGTCATAATGATAATTTTATAACAGCACATAAAACACACACATGATACGCAAAAAGGATTTCCAAAACCAATCTAGCATCACTTGTGCTCAAGTGATGTTTTTTCTTTGCAGCCTCTTCACATTTTTATGTAATCCCATTGCTTTTTTAAACAAAAGTGCCTTTCCTTATCCCTCATACATACATGACATCACTAGCATCCCTTCTAATTTTAAATTTCCCTTCCTTTTTTACTTTTCTCTGTCTTCAAAATTAACCATTACCAAGGCAGAACACAACACTTCTGGTTGTAACTTCAAAATAACTTGCTATCTTTTTTTTTTAGTAGTATCAGCTGCTTGCTATATTGAATATTAACAGCTAGAAACACTCCTTTGAAACTATTTCATTCTCCTGCCATATTATCGGCTGAGCTAAATGCCAGTTTAGATTAACAGGTTAGATTAACTGGGACTTCTAACACAATCAGTCCAATAACTCATAGCTAGATGTCCTTCTGGCAAATACAAACCTTGCTGCATTTCCTTGACCTGGGTTTCGCTGCTTTTATAACTTTAGCGGAATTTTGTAGTTCTGAAAAGAAAGAAAAATATTTTCAGCTGAAGAATTAGACTGCACTTTCAAAGAGTAAGGAAGGTATACTTTAACAACTCTGTTTAACTAGCTATCATGCTACACCAAAGTGTTTCTGAGGCCTTGGTATCGAAGTCCATGAAGTAACCAATAGTACATGACATTGAAAAACTCACATTCATAATGAGTGTAAATAATCTTGAACACCAGGTGTACAGGAGACTGTGTAACGCCGTATTTAAGCATTTGCTCAGCTATAAGGTCAAGACTAACTCAAAACACTGGTATTTTAACCTAAGTAGCAGCAAAGAAAATGAGCCCCTGAAACACATTTTAAAAGTTACTCATATTAGAAGCTATATTTATAAGACAAAATTAATTTACGAAATCTATCATTATGCAAGCATGAGAAAAACTTAGAAGCAATTACGTATTCACAAATTCCTAGTAATTTCCTTTTATAAGCAATTACTCAAATGCCAAATAAAATTTAGCCATATTGCTCATAATCAAGCCAAAGCAATGAAAAAAAAAATACAAGGAAAGGTGGAAAGAGAAAATGGCTATAAAAACTACGTTAAGACTAATAAATTTTAATGCCCAAATTCCACAATGGATATGCTTATGATAAATATGAGCATTTGCAACAAAGCTGACACTCATACATTTTTCAGAACCATCCTGAATCAAGACCTAGACTTTATAATAATGATCCCATCTGATCTCCTGAGGAAGAGACTTACTTCCACCAGTAATATCTGACAGGAATTAATATAATGCTTGGAAATAACTCTCTCTCTCATATATGGCAACATTATTGGGCCTAATATCTAGGATCAATAACCTACATTGAAAAATAAAGGCCTATTTAAACTTACTACGTCTTTTAATACATGTGCAATTACCCTTCCGTATATGAATCCGATTCTCTTATTCTGCGCAATTTTTCCCTACCCATCTCAATTGTGTTCTACTTTTTGTGTTGTGAATTCAGGGGGAAAAACCCCACTAGTATCAGGCAATTTTTCTTGGAGATTAGAATTAAGACAGAGGAAACCACCTCTTAACTTCTGTTAAGCCCTGGTTCTGTTCTCCCGATGTGTACTTTCCCACAGAGCAGTGGTCACAACCTTTCCTTGAAACTTCTTATTCAGTATTTTATTGCAAGACAAGCTTGAAACATCGAACACGGCTGAAATCACTAGCGGATTATTATTTCACACAGGGATAACATCACCTCCTCAACCCTTATCTCTTCCACATCCACTGACTAATCTTCCTTATCGCAGCTTCACACTGGGAACCCCACCCTCGTGCCCCAGTGACGGTGAAAACCCTCTCTGTCTGCTTCCCGGAATACACCGTGAACGTTAGGAGCATAAACTACTGTATACTCCATATTCGCCTGTAAATTATATTAATACTGCTATATACAACTTGCACATCCCACAAAACGTGAATTCAGTGAATCCCGATCGGCCTTTGACCTTTGCCACACCATTTACCAGCAGGTTTTTTTCTTCTCCTACAGATCTGCTTTTTAAAACAAAGACAAAAATGCCTCTTTCTTGTTATTCAGCCTCAATTAACTTTAGACTGAGAGCTTTCAGAAACACACAGCGACTGTGCAATCCTAATTTTTACTTGTCACTCAATAATAAACTAATTGCCCTTTACAAAACAAGACAAACAGCTGTAGAGGTGGAGTAGCAAACAAATTTGTAATTTTCTCCAACAAAACTGCCAATTATCTGTAAAGGTAAACTGACTGGCCACGGCGTTTGTCCTCCAGTAGTCTGTAAACACACATCTCTCCTTAGCTGCTCAATTACCTTACTGAAGCCCTTTTTCCATCTCACAGCACTTTTACTTCAATTGCTGCTGAAGGACTGCTCTGCCAGAACTTCCCCTCTGTGTGTCACCAGGGCGTAGCAAGGGATTCGAAAATAAGAGACTCGATGTCGCTGCACTATCTTAGTCATGGGATATTATTCCAGGCGGCAGGAGAGGCTATCTGAATCGAGTAGAATGAGACCCAACTCGTTTTAAGGAATCTCTCTTATCTGGATGCAGTAATCCAAGACTTGGAAGATGCATTTGCACACGAAATGCAAAGAAAATTAATATTAGGCAACACACCGCCTAGTTGATGATGCCCTTTCTGAACTCAAAGGCCTGAGATCACCACGCTCTGTACTTCCCTACCCAAAAACAACTCCACGGAGTTTCTTGTCCTCCTAAAAGAGCCATGCTCAAAACCAAATTTAACTGATCTTTCCTGACCGGCTTTCCGGGGCTTATCGTGTGGGAGCTGGATTTTGGTGCGAAGCATGAAAGGGAAGATAAGGGGGAAGGAGGGAAAAAGAAAAAAGAAATTAAGGAGGGTGGTAGAATAAAAAGAAAAAAAAAAAACATCAGATCACTTAAAGGTTTTACCCAGGTCGCATCTGTTACGTTGTTATGAACGCACCTAGAGCCACTGTTCAGGCAAAACCTACTCTAGAGTGCGTTTAGATAAAAGCTCTATGCCTAACATTACTCCAGTGTGTGGTTTCAACATCACGTAACAGTGCTGAATACCCAGAAATGGCATCTTCAGCACACTGCTCCAGCAGAACCCAACAAGCCCTTGCAAATAAACTATTTCACCTATTGTTAATTCCAACCTAAGTGTATTAAAATGGTTTATTCAGTCATATGCTACAAGGTAACCTGTTTAGTAACAGCACACTGTGTTGATGAAAGAATTTGGTTATTTCAATTACTTTACTTGCTGGGTTTCAGCTGAGTTTTGAGAGGGTGAGGAAAGAAAATTAAAATCAAGGATGAGGAAGTTTAATTGCCAATGATCATCTTTCAATCACTGAACTCCATCCAGTAAAGATGCCATCCACATGAAAACAGAAATCAACCTTCAAAGCCATTTTTATTACGGTTCTTCCAAGTCTCCTAATACACCACATCCTAACATGAGGTATTTTCTGCAGAAAGACGTGGGCGTGCAAACATGCCAAGTGCAGTATGTCAAGATACATGGGATGACAGTTCTGAAAAATGACAGATGAATTTTGGAACCACCAAACCAGCAGCAATCCTCTGGGACAACGGCGACAGAAAAGGAAAAGCAGAGCGGATGCTGTGCAGCGATAAGAGAAGCAAAGTTTGTACATAAAGATGGATCGCCGAAGTACCACTGATTACAAGACAAATTATGTTTTCAGTAGCAGTACGTCAGAATGGATGAAGTTCTGCAAATAATTTTTGTCAGGAAGTAATTTTTTCTGATAGAAAGGGACGGATGATATTGCCAATTTCTTCCAAAAGCAAAGTCTGTTCATAAAAGGTGGAACACATTCTAATTTTGATACAGACGTGGTTTATGCTGTAAGGATTTCTAGGCAATATTCAAGTTTTATTTTTACTTGGACTGCACGTGTATTTCCTTCAGTGAAGGAACAACATCGCATCAACACCAGAAGTGCTTCAGGAGGCAGCTGAAATCACCCAGCAGAACAGCTCTTCAAAACTTCACTGGAACATGTTTGTGGAACTTGTACAACATTTTCCTCTCAATGCTCACTTGGAAACTTCAGAGTAGAACCCGTTTTTACACAAGGTAAGCTATACTTAAATCTATTGTTTTAACAGATAAATGTGGAAGTCTTGCAAATGTGACAAAACAATCCCTTGGAATACATCGTAATTTAAATCTAGAGCATGGATTTAGATCCAAGATTCTGGGAAACAAAAAAAAAACCCCGCGAACAGTAATTATGCTAACGTCCTTTCCTACCATAGTTCTAGCATTTTATAGCAAAACTGCATTAGATTGACCTTCTTCACACTATTTGAACAACTAACCAAGGCAGCCACTTACGACACCTGCACCCTTCCACCTATTTACATTCAAAACCAGTCAGTTTTTCAATCCAACAAGCAACAGGGAAAAAAATCCCCAATACATGATTGATTAATCATGACACTATTTATTTTCCTTGCATTTCATTTCTCATCTCGATTTTTTCTTAGCTTCTTCATAGAAAGCTGCAACCTGCGACTCAATTTCTACAAAAGCTTTCACGGTCTAAAGGCAGCACATGCTAGAGCACAGCAAGCCAGTACTGTGTCTTAGGCTCTAGGCTGCAGGATGGATTTCTCTCTCATAACAGGTCTCCAGCTTAAAAACGACAACAACAAAAAAACCCTACCCTACAAAACTACATATGCTGCTATATGCAACTAAAATACAGACAGCAGGTGTGTAAAGATAATGTTTTTAATCCCTTCAGGGTTGGGATTTTTGTCAACGCTGTACCGTCTGATAATTCTTAAAACAATTTTTAAAAGCTGCTATTCAAAGAAACAGTGAATTCATAAGAAGTAACGATAGTATCTGCCTTAGAGACACCAAAAAAATTTGATAATCACATCATTTACCCATTTACTAATCAAAAGCTTGCTATTCCTAGTAGCGCAATAAACCTTTGCTAAACTGTACTTTTACAACCTGTTTGCTAACAGACTAAAGCAGATTAATTTCTACAATAGCACTACAGTGAACTGGTTCTGCTACCCAAATATCAATCAGATAAAAGATGTTCTTTGATGCCCAGAAATAAACACAAGGCAGAAAGACAAACTCAGCACTATATAAAAGACTGAAGTGTGCAGTTATTTTAATTAACTATATCATTCAAGCACACTAGGAAGCAAACCTGCTTCAACCACTTAAACAGCACAGGTCTTTTGCTTCAATTGAATACTTTCATAAATTTCATGAACAATTTTTGAATAATTATCTAATGAATCATTAGAGACCCACATCAGCTATACAAATCAGACGAAGACTAGAGAACTTGTCATTCGGATTCCCTTTTCCAAGCTTACAAAAAGGGCAGCACTTTAGGTTTCATGAAATGACAAGGTGGGAGAACTTGTGTAATAAAATTATTTCAACAACTCCACCCTGGGCAAATTATTTACGCGGAGGAAGGGTAACTAGCCTCTTCAGCAAGAGCCCAGCTCTGCAGGGTAGCTGAGGGAGAACAAGACTCAGGGGAAAGACAAGGAATACAGGACTAGCACTAGGCTGTTCCGCAGCTTCCATATGGACGCATCTTGTTGGCTCAATTTAAAAAAAGCTTATCTTGTTACCTCGTAAAAAAGCAGCTACGGGATTATATAGGACTCCTTCCTTGCAATCGTTCCTCTCCTCTTACTCATAGAGCTTCAACTTGAAGAACGGAAGACTTACTGCAACATATTGGCTGGGCGCTACAGGGGAAGGCGAGGGGAGGCAGACACACCGCAGAAGTACCTTTCATCATTTGGCACCCTCTAATAAAGCTGCCTCCCTGTGTTCACGATCACCAGGATTAGACAGAAGCCTATTAACTTCACGAGCAATTTCATACTGCTACAAGTCTTTCTCCATGAGTTAAATGCAGATTAGGATGTAAAAGTAGCTGTATAATTCTGAAATTATTCTGTTTAAAAGAGACGTTTAATAAAAGGCTTAGTCAGAAACAATGAACTGCGGTAACAAACATACCATGAAAAATTCAAGTATGTTTACATTAGGTGTTTGGTTTACTACAACATGATTAAAACCTACTAACGTATCTGAGACAAAAAAACAATAAGTCATAGTAACAACGCTTTGACCAAATTCTTTCGCCAAGAATTTTAAGCCTTTTACATTACTTTTTTCCTTCTGGTGCCAGATGACTAACAGTTTTGTTCAGTGACAAGAGTCAGGTTTGCCTCTATTACAAACTAATACCACGCTGAATTGAAAGGCAAAAGATCACAGACCAGGGTCAATTTTCTCAAGTGCGTAACTATCACTGAACAAACCATACGTGCGCGTCTCAGGAAACTTTCAACAAATTAAGCCAGGATCAACAAGTCGAACAGGATTCAGTCACTACTTTGATGCGAGATTCTTTTACGTTTTATTATCCTCTTTACGGATAGTTTTACATTCCATCCCAGTAGTATTTCTGCTCATCTACTTATTATTTGACATGACTAATTTCCATACTACTACATTCATAAGGGCCTAGCGTGACCGATTTTGCTTTGCCAACGTGCAATTAGTTACTTCAAAATACATCCCTCGTTGCAGATAGAGGCACATGCCCAGTCCTTCCTTCAAACAGCCAGGAAAAATCAGCTGCTTTGTCTTGTACAAGGGAAA